TCCTCTTGCCTCAGCCTCCCATGTAGCTAGGACCACAGGCATGCACCACCACACCTGGCTAATGTTTTGATTTTTTGTAGAGACAGAGTCTCACTTTGTTGTCCAGACTCATCTTGAACTCCTGGGCTCAAGAGATCCTCCCACCTTGACCTCCCAAAGTGCTGGCATTACAGATGTGAGCTACCGCACTCAGCTAATTATTGTATTGCTTTAAGATTCAGGTCTGCTTTAAACTTTTCTTTTGTCACTTCCTTCACTGCCAGGCTGTCGGCTACTATTTCTTTTCTTTTCTTTTTTTTTTTTTTTGACATTTATAGAAAGTTGGTTTTAATTTTTTTTTATTATTATACTTTAAATTCTAGGCTACATGTGCATAACGTGCAGGTTTGTTACATATGTATACTTGTGCCATGTTGGTGTGATGCACCCATCAACTCGTCAGCACCCAAATTGCTTGCTGCTAGTGGACCCCTTTGTTTCTTCGCACCATGTCCCTCCTATTTTCTATTCATTATGGAATCCGAAAGCCAGGTTACTTCTTTTGTATAGAAGGCAAAAGCCTTGGGCGTTATAGCACAAGGGCTTTGAGATCGTTATTTCAGCTATTTGAGCACTTCCCAGTTTCTTCTAGATTGGCGGTTTGGGTTTACATAGCTGAGGTTCATATGAAACAATCTAGACACAAAATCACTCCTCTTGATCAGCCTGGGCAAACTGAATTCTCTGGTCCTCAGTTTCTTTATCTGGAAATGGGTACCAATACCCAGACTTCCAGAGTGGCCATGAGGTTTAAAAGTGATAAACTATACACAAAGAGCCAGCCCCTTGCCCGGCACACACTCAGAGAAGGAAACTATAATTAGTGTCGAGTTAAAACCTTCTGCGCTCAGCCTGGGAATGGCTTAGTCCCCTGGTAGCTGTATTCTCCTGGGCTCTCTGAGGAGCTGTTCTGTCCACCTAACACCATGAGGGTGGCCTGGCAGCAAATCCTGCTTCCAAGGCATCTTGTTATTATTGGGCCTCAAATAGAAGTTAATAAATAGACCAACACAGTAAGCACTTGAAGAACAAGTCCAAGAATATCTCAGAAAAATCGCAACTTCAACATGTACTTGGATGAAGCCATAACAACAAACAGGGGAACGCTGGCCTGCAGACCAGATATTCTGACTTAGAAAAAAAGAAGAAGGATGCCGTGAAGCTTAACGATCCTGCCGTGTGATTAGGCAGGAACTTTACAAGAACATATGCAGAGGCGGTAATTAGGCCCGTGGCTTTGGAAGAGAAACAGCGGAGATCATCAAATCCCAGAGTGAAGCCAAGCATCCGTTCAGGAGCTGGAGCTGGGGTGGGCTACACAGGTTCTTGAGCGGAGAAGCCAAAAGAATTGAGTTTTATCACACGTGGGCACCAACACAGCGAGGGGTACCTTTGGATTCTGTTGCATAAGCAATAGAATTTAGCATAACAACAGGCACAGAGGATTAGGATTCCCTCATGGGAGAATGTTCTTTAAAAATGTTAAGCCCACATTTACCTGTTCACACTCCCTCCCAGATGTGTTTGTATGATGCTTTTGTGTTCAGAAAGCACCACAGCCATTCTCTCACTATAATAAAGGTGTGCTGGGAGAGGGAGTGCAGGTCTGGTTATTTCTGATTTTCAGGCGGGAAAATGGAGCAAATGACTGGTCCACATTACCCACCTGGGGAGGAACTAAATAAACTGGCTTTAATGAGTTAGCCTGGCTAGATCTCCCAAGTCAATGAACTTATGACATCGTTTTTGTTGCTGTTGTTTTGGGGTGGGTGGGGGGCAGTGGTCCTATGGGGATTTGGCTACAGTCAATATTGTTGGAAGTAATAATCTTTAGAATATCTTTGCAGTCCAGGGTTACAACACTGGTACCCACTGCAATAGAGTCTGACTTGCAATACAACTATTATTTGATCCTCAATCATCGCCCTCCAATGGAAAAGAAATGTCCCTCTTCCCTTATGATCTGGGTCATCCTCTTGGCTCCTCTCCCCATACCCGCCACTCCCCAAGGCAGAGCGACCCCCTCCCCACCCTTGTTCTTGCCTCCAGCAGCGTGACTGTGATCATGAACCAGGGTGGGGGGCAGCAGGTGTAGCTGTCATAGTACCACTTGCGGTCAATTTCCCGGGGCAGGGTCTCATAGGCCACGTGGCGGATGAGTCGTTGAGACAGGCTCAGCCCCTTCTCCTCCAGCAGAGCCTTGCTGCTTAGCCTGCGGTTGCCCTGCAGGATGGCTTGGCGGAAGCTGTTGGAACGCTTGTTGCTCATCTGTGCAGGAAATGGAATTGGGAGAGGGTCAGAGCTGGGGCCCAGCGGAGCCCCCCACCCACTTCCCAGCCAGCATGTTCCTTGCACCAGGCCTGATCCCGCATTTCCCTTTCTCCTATAATAGTTAATAAGAAGCAACATTCACCAAGGTCTTGTTAGGTGTTGGGGTTATTCTCAGCCCTTCATGTCTTTTGGCTCATTTGATGATCACCAGTCTTCCCATTAGATAAGGACTATTAACATCCCCATCCTACTGGATTAGGAAACTGAGACACAGAGAGCTTTAGGAATCCATCAAGTTCACACCCAGTAAGCCTCCAGAGCCTGTATTTGTGTTCACTATACCTTCCGTCATCCACTCATTCATCATCCGTCCATCACAATTTACTGAGCAACTCCTAAGTGTCAGGCTTATTACCAGGCACAGGGAGGGATACGGTGGTGCTCAGGACAGATTAGTAACCAGCAATCACAGTTCAGATGGCTGCTGTGGGAGCACACAAGAGGGAGCCCAATCCATTCCTAAGGGAGGTCAGAGGTCAATCAAAAGATGAGCAGGAGGTAGCACCCTCAGACACACTAGCTTGGGAAGAGGCAGGCAGCCCTTGGTTTGCAGAGAGGCTCCCAGAGCCAACACCCAAGCTGTGCCTGGGGAAGGTCACCACTCCCGAGGGCCTTCACAAGACCTGCAATGCCTAGCAAGCCCAAGGACTGGCTGCAGAGCTCCACCTGGAGACCCGCTCTATCCTCAGCGGCCTGAAGCTTCCCTGACACATACTGGGTAGAGCTCTGGCAGCCTCACCCAGTGGTCAGCCTGACTCCGAGACCAGAGGTGGCCTTGCTGACTCCTGGCCTCCCGAGGCCTCCATTACCTCCCACCTGCCTTCCATGGCCAGGTGAGAAATCCTAGAGGTATGGCTCTCCCAACCCCACACCTCAGCTGTCCCCATGTTTACTGGTGTGGGGATTATCAATGTATTCCTGGGACTCTGGGCCCAGCAGCAGACATCAGGCTAAACCCGAAGGCAGGAGCCCAGTGGGCTGGTGAGGTGAACCAGGCCAGACCATAGCACAGGGGTTGTAGGCCTTGTCGGAGGGCAGGTGGCTGGGGAGGATCTAGGTTCAGACCACGCCAGGCGGTGTGGACTTCCATCTGTAGGGTCCCCCTACCTCACATTCCTGAGCTCTGCTGTGTCTCACAGTTAAAATCTAGCTTAAAGTTTGCCCCCTCCAGCAGGTTGTCCCAGATGAACCTTTCCTAACCATTCTCTGTCCCCATCCTCTCCATGCATACAAAGCTTAGATCTAGTTCTTCTCAATGGCCCAGAAGCTCTGTAAATGTAGGCCAGGGTTAGGGTCCTCGTGCACACTGTGAGTCCAAGACAGGATCGTGTTGTCAGATTATTTTGTGGCCACTCTTACCTGTCTCTCTCCCAGTCCCTGAGGATGCACCTGCACAGGGGCATATGCACAGCACGCACACACACACACACACACACACACTCTCTCACACACACACACACTCTCTCTCACACACACACACGGCCCAGGGGCCCTGAAGACCCATGGTGAGAGCTGGCTTAGCAGGATTACACACTCACCATCCACCTGTGTCCCTCACGTGCCCAGTGCTGTGCTGGGCACAGTTGTGACCATGGGTTCGGGCCTCATGGAGCTTACAAGGGGAGACAGAAGTGTAAAAACAGCAAAAGAGGGTGCCATCATAGTTATTTGGCGCCCCGTATTATTTTGACATTACAAATACGGGTACTGAAGCTTGGAGAGGGTGAGTAGTTTCCCCAGGTACTCATACTTAATAAACCACAGAGTCAGGACTCAAATCCACATCTGCCTGACTCCACAGTCCACGCTAGCCCATACGGACCTGTTGTGCCAATTAGATAAAGGAGCCTCTTCTTCTGGATGGGTGCACCCATGCCAAGCCTTGGGGAGCAAAGTCCAGGCCAGATTTCAGTCTCCATCATCTCTCAGCTAGGCACCCTTGTACAGTATACAACCTGCACACTCACACATGACTACCCAGGCTGCTCGGCTGTAATGCAGTGTGGCGGTCTGTACTACGAGAGAGGCCTGGGCAAGGCACTGTGGGGGCTCTGAAAAAGGTTGACTCACTCTGCCTGGATTGGGCAGGTAAAGGCTCACAAAGGATGCAGAGGAGTTTACCCGGTGGAAGAACATTAAGAGACATCAAAAACATTCAAATACTTTTATTTGATCCTTGCAGCAACCCTAAAGAGGGGATCCTTTGGCTTCATTTTACAAATGGGAAAAGCCAGGCTCAGAGGCTCTTTCCCAGTGAGTGGCAAAGGCAGAGCTAGACCAGGACCTGGGTTTGCCAGACTCCAGGTCCTCAGCTCTCTGCTCTACTCAGAGCTTCCCCTCTGGTGAGTCCCTTCTTTGTCTGCTCTCCAGGGCAGCCCTGCTCATACGGATCCAGTGCAGAATTTGAACAGAGAAATCCCAGAAATCCCAGCAGTAACAAGTAACTGGCTGTCCTGAGCTGACACAGAGGCTCCATTGACCCCTGGCTGGAGAGAAGCCACTCCTGGCCCCGCGTGCCCGACTCTGCCCTATGACCAAGCAGGGTACCTTGCAACAAACACACAGGTGCTAGGGCTGGGGCTGTGGATGAGCCTGGGCAGGCTCAAACCTTTGGCCTGGTCTTTGGTTGCACTGCCGGGTTCCAAGTCACAGGACTCACCCCCACTGCCTATCCTGTGAATCCTGACTGCCCCCTCCCCTGCTCAGCTCAGCTCTGTCCCTTGCCCTCCACAAGGTCTGCTATCTGGGTCCACTCTGAACAGCAGTCGATTCCTCCACTCCTAAATGCCCCACAGCAGCTCCCTGCAATCACGCCAACCCTTGGACCAAGGCCGGCCCTCAGCCAAGAGGTTGCTGAAACATCTCCTCTTCCTGGGCATCCACATCAGAGCACTCATGTGGCACAACGACAGGCTCCAGTGGTGGTAGCTCCTCCATCACTGGTGCCTTTGAATTCTAGGAGCCTGGGGCGCTTCACACAAGTTATTTCACTCTCGCTCCCTCCATGGGTGACACGAAGAGAGGTGACCAGCTCCATCTCACCAGTAGGGAAACCCAGCAAAAACTGTGGGTCTTATTTTCGACCTGCTTGTTCATGCCACTTTTTTACTGATGTCACCTGCATCCCATGGTGGGTAAAATACTGCCTGCTTAACCCCGCTGAACCCCAGTCCACAGCAGCCCCTGAAACAGCACAGCATTAACCCTCAGTGAGGGGAAGTCTCTGCTCTGAGATACGCGCCGCTGGGCAGGATTCATGGGCCTCTCTTCTCCAGCCTCTTTGGCAGCCCAGGGCATCTGCTGAGCAGATCTGCTGAGCTCTGGCTCTACCACGTGCTGCACTGACGCTCCCACTCCCCAGCCCCTTCTCCTGCCACTAATACCCTACCTACTCCCAGTCCTTCATTTTGGTGGAACTGACCCCACTCGCAGCTCCAGGGGTGGGGCTGTGATTGGTTTAACTCAATCTACCCATCCTACTGACCCAATCTAGGCCAATGAGAGGGAGAATATACCAGGCCTTGTGCAAGAGCTACCCCAAGAAGGATCTCTCTCTCTCTCCTCTCTCTCCCCTCCCCTCCTCTTCTCTCTTTCTCTGTCTCTCTCTCTCTCCTCCGCTCCCTCCCTCCCTCCTTTTCTCCCTCCCTCCCTCCCCTCTTCTGCAAGGTGCAGCCTGAGGATATGAGGGCTGGAACAGCTGCTGCCACAATGGGGGGGTCTGAAATTGCCTTGAGGATGGGCTGACAAGGCAGAGGGCAGAGCCTAGAGACAGAGAGAAGATGAGTCCTTGGTGGCACACTTTCACCTGCAGAAGCCTGGACTTTCTCAATGCTGCAGGCCAGCAGATCCTTTGAATTGCCTAAATCCTTTAAATGTGTGGAAGCCACAACCCTCAAACAGGTCCCTCCCAGCACCCAGGGCCCCAAAGCACTCACTAGGCTGATAAAATCATGGTAGCAGATCTGCCCATCCGCGTGGCTGTCGGCAAGGGCCAGGAGTACCTCCCTTTTGTGAGGGTCCAGCTTGGAGCTGTGGCTCTCCAGAAGACTCCGGAACTTGCCTGTGCTGATATAGCCTGTGTTCCCAGGGTCAAACTGAGGGAAAAGCAGACAGCAGCGGGGTCAGCAGGGCACCACCTCCTCTTCACACTGATGTGGGTGCCCCGATCTCCACTACTATTCACTGGCTTTAGTCCCCAGCCCCTGGCAAAGAGTCTCAGTCAGTGTCTAGGAGGTTTCCAAGGACCTCCCGGGGAAATATCTAAATAGGAATGACAATCACTTAAAGTCCTAGAGGACCTGCAGACCTTCAGGATCACCCAATCCAGCCATCTCATGTGGATAAGGAAACTGAGGCTCAAAGAGGTTAAACCGCCTCCTCTCACCATGGAGAGGGAAGCACAAATGAAAAGGCAATGGGTGCAGGAAGATGAGAAACTTCTGGGGCCTGGAACAGGGGAGAGGACAGCAGGAGAAGGACGTTTCAGCTGTGACTGGCAAAGGGAAAGGGGACTGGGCCAGAGGGACTCCAGGGGGGATGCCAGAGGGCCCTGGGGAGCAAGAAGCACCGCCTTGCAAGTCCTTCCGCCCCTGGCCACCCTCCCACAGCCCCTTCCACACACCCAGGCAGGGAGGATTGGCGGGGCTCCCCAGAGACACTCTGCTCTGTGGTTTTTGTTTTAGGGGGTGTTTGTGCGCACACATGAGTGTGCATCTGTGTGTTTTACACCATGCTCTTTCATCGTTTGCAGCTTTGCACATGAATCTGCCTGAGATTCCCTTTCTTCCTTCGTCTCCCTGGAAGACTCCGACTCACCCTTCCTGACTACTCAGATGTGCCCTTCTCTTGGAAGGCTCCCCTCAGGCATGGCCTCTTCTTACTGTGCCCTCCGCTCTGTCCAGACCTCTGGGCCTCCAGCCCACACCAGTGTCTGTCTGCTTTTGCCTCCTCCTTGGACTGCGCACCTCGCAGATGGGTATCACAACTTATCCCCAAGGCTTAGCACAGAGCCTGGCATTATCAGCACTCAATCAAGATTTGTTGGATGAATAAATAGTGGGTGTTCAGATGACCAGACAGGCACTGATTTTCCATGAAAAGCCTCATCGGTTCAGTTAGAAAAGGCAGGATCAGGCCGGGCGCGGTGGCTCACACCTGTAATCCCAGCACCTTGGGAGGCCGAGGCGGGCGGATCACGAGGTCAGGAGATTGAGACCATCCTGGCTAACACGGTGAAATCCCATCTCTACTAAAAATACAAAAAATTAGCTGGGCGTGGTGGCAGGTGCCTGTAGCCCCAGCTACTTGGGAGGCTGAGGCAGGAGAGTGGCATGAACCCGGGAGGCGGAGCTTGTAGTGAGCTGAGATCCGGCCACTGCACTCCAGCCTGGGCGACAGAGCAAGACTCCATCTCAAAAAAAAAAAAAAAAAGAAGAAGAAGAAGAAAAGACAGGATCTTAGTCACCTCTCCCAGAGAAGACCTTATCATTTCTGTCCCTTCCCTCACAGAACCCACCCAATGCCCATGGCAACACTTTTGACACCAAGCATCTCCTGGGTGCCAGTTTTCCTGTTCACAAGGTGCATCCTGGAGATGCAGCTGTGAGTTGTTTAAAAGGCAAACAGACATTGAGGGTGTATGTGTGTGCATGACGAGGGAGTCCGGAATACCAAACCCACGTTTTCGCGTTTTCTAGATGGTCAATGAAGGCTATTTCAGGAAAGTGGATTCCACGTGTAGCACTTCTGAGACGATCAAAGAGCAACAGTCTGGAATCCCAGTCATGGGCTATTTCAATTCTCCACCGAATTCAACAAGAAAGGACATCTCCAATGACGTCTACTGTTGTTTTGTTTTAGACAGGATCTCGCTTTGTCACCCAGGCTGGGGTGAAGTGGTGCCATCCTAGCTCACCGAAGCCTCAACCTCCTGGGCTCAAGCAATCCTCCCACCTCAGCCTCTCAAGTAGCTGGGACCACAGTTGTGTGCCACCACAACCAGCTAATATTTAAATTTTTTGTAGTGATGGGCTCTTACTATGTTGCTCAGGCTGGTCTCGAACTCCTGGGCTTAAGCGATTCTCCTGCCTCAGCCTCCCAAAGTACTGGGATTACAGGCATGAGCTACCACGCCTGGTCCTGAGGCATATTTTAAAATCTGTATCTCCCACCTTCAAGCCAAAATGCCAGGTTTCACGAATGACATCTGTTTGGTTCACAACACCAAGTATTTCAGGAAACTCACCTACTCATTGCTTAGTAAAGATCTTGAAGAATAAAAACACCTAATATTTGCTGACTTTTCATGGAGCCAAGTACTGTTCTAAGCACCTTATGCATACAATGTCTTTGACCCCTACACAACCTTATGTAGCAGATCCTATCCATGTCCCCGTATTACAGATGAGGAAATAGAGGCACAGAAAAGTTATCACGGAGACATGAAGTGATTTGCCCAGCAAGCGGCAGAGCCTGGATTCCACCTCCAGCCAGCCAAGCACGATTCCTCTAAGCCATGGCCAGGTGCCTCTGACCTCCAGCTCCAGAGACTGCTCTGATGCCCAGGAACAAAATTTAAGTACCAAAGAGGTGAGTGCGGGGCCCAGGAGAGGAAGGGGCTCCAGGAGGCTCACAGCCCTACAGCAGGCAGAGATATTCTTTTTTGTTTTGTTTTGTTTTGTTTTTTGAGATGGAGTCTTGCTTTGTCACCCAGACTGGAATGCAGTGGCACAATCTCGGCTCACTGCAACCTCCGCCTTCCAGGTTCAAGCAATTCTCTGCCTCAGCCTCCTGAGTAGCTGGGACTATAGGCACCCGCCACCACGCCCGGCTAATTTTTGTATTTTTAGTAGAGACGCGGTTTCACCATCTTGGCCAGGCTAGTCTTGAACTCCTGACCTCGTGATCCACCCACCTCAGCCTCCCAGTGTGCTGGGATTACAGGCGTGAGCCACCGCGCCCAGCCCCATAGACAGAGATTTTTAAATCAGGAAACAGCCCCAGACAGCAACAGCTCCAACCTCCTTCGTTGCTCAGCTAAGAAAATGGAGCCTGGAGAGGGAATGTGGCAACCGCAGCCAGGGAGGGTCTGTTTCCTTGGTGCCTGGGACCCCTCCCAGCTCTACAAGCCACCTGTGCCAATCCCTGCTCCATCACAGGGTTTCACTAGCCTGGCCCTCCTGTGCTGGGTGGGCAGATGGGGGGGTTGCGGGCTGAGAAGGAGCAGGTGGAGTCCTGGGAAGCCCCCCAGTGGGGGGTGCAAGGGGGCCACTGGTCTTCAGCACAGCTTGTGCAGTCTCTCCTGCCTCGGCCTGGGGGAGGGAGCCCAGCGGCTTTGCGTGCCCTGGGAGCAGGCACCAATCCCCTTCTAGGGGCTGCCTCCCAGGCTGGGGAGGGCCGTGGGGTGGGGGTGCGGTGGGGGTGCTGGGATCAGGCTCCAGACAAAGAACCACCTGCTCTCTCCCTCAACCTCCCCCTCCAGGGCTCCCTGCTGTTGTCCTAGTGACATGGCTGCCCTGTGGCTCCTCAAGCCCCCACCGCCAACCAGGGCCTGCCTGCCCTGCCCCGAGCATAGTAACAGGCTCCAGACAGCAGAGAACAAGCTGGAATCAGGCCGAGCCTCGGTTCTCTGCCAAAACTCTACCTTTCATGGCAGGGCCAGACAGGCCAGACAATGGGGGGGTCACCGCTACCCTAATAATGAGGCCTTGGGGATGCCCAGAAGACAGCTGGGGGAGGGGGAGGGAGAGGCAGCAATGGGGCCGGCTGCCTGGGCTCTGTGAATGCACAGGACACCTTTCGACCCCCACCCCCAGCCCCAG